TGCTTTTTAATGAAAATATATATATAAATATATATATTGAAAAACTGGAAAACAGGAAAAGGAAAATATTTAATCTCTTCATCAGCTCACACAATTATATCCGGAAAAAGGATAATCCTATGAACTGATAAGAATATCCGATATAATCCTGTGAGCTGATGAAGAGATTATATCTTTTCATTCTTTTGTTTTCCGGCTTTTTAATGCATATTTTTTTTAATATTCTGAAAAATATTTTTTGAAATCATTTTATTTTAGTAATTTTCCTCTCTTCTTTTCGTTTTTCTTTATTTTTTTCCACGTTTTCTCTCTATTTTTAAATTATTTGAGTTTGATATACTTGTAGCTTATGCGCAGTAAATAAAACTTATTAATTTTCTTATTTTTCTTTGTTTCTTTCCTTTTTTTATTTTTGTCTTCATTGTGACATTTATATATATGATATAAAGAACAATACTATTTGATGATAAAACCTTTGAAGAGCATCCTTAAAACTAAAAATCCGGACTGATTAAGTAGATACATTAATTTCCTTCATGTATTTATTTATTTTTTGCAAAACTTTAAACATGTTGTTTATTATTAAAGTCAGTACTAGACATAATCTTGGTTAAAAAATTCATTTCATAAAGAATATATTTTTTTTCGAAATCCAATCTCATAATACCTATGTATATTTTGAAATAGCAAATATCTAATACTATCGCAACCCCTACGGCGCTTCTAAAGGAAATTGCAAACGTAAAACGTTTTGTTTATTGGAACATAATTACACATAAAAGATAGTAAGAAATAAAAGATAGTAAGAAGTAAGAAATAAAATTTTTGGAATATTTAAATTTTGTAGTATGCGAAATGGACTCGGATATTAAATATTTCCCTTTATATTATTTTAATGACATAAAAATAAACATAAAAATAATTCATTAGATAAAATTTTCTTATATATTTGTCATACGTTGGATTCTAATTCTTATTCATTAGAAAATTTCCCTGTTATAATTTGCAACTCTTTTTCTATTTGAAATGGAGAAAAAATTATATTATTTTTAAGCAATATGTTAAGACACTTGGATATGTCCTGTGCTTATGTTATAATGTTATACAGGGATTAAATGATTTTTTAATAATAATTTTTTTTTCAATGATATGAATCATACTAAACTAACGCATTGCTTTGAAAAAATTCACTGAATTCATTTGGTAATTGTTTCCAAATCAATCATATGCATTAAATTCATTAAATTAGGTTTGTTGGTTTGATTTTATGGACAAGTTTAATTAAATCTCCTATATAATGTGAATTAACTTAAATTCTTATGACTCTAATAAGTAATAGGAAATAGTTAATTTTAATAATTTCAATTATTTATTTATTTATTTTTAATTACGTCTTTTAATTCTTTTGTGACTTTGAAAAAACTATTACACACAGTTATTCAAACATTTGAATCGATTGAAATGATTTTTGATAAAAAAAAAATCTAAACAAACTGGCTTGTTTACTTTTATTATAAAATTTTCTTAAATCAGATTTTGATTTTGCACTTCGCTTTTTCTAGTGAAAAAAATATGGTCGTTTTGTGCGCTTTTAGTAACGAATGTTTCGACTTAAATTTTTTTTTTAAAGTACGAGGAAATGTTTTTTCTACTTTCTCTTCTTCTTTTTAACCACTTATTGGCGTTCACCAAGTACACAAATACATTTAATTAAAAAAGCAAGATTCAATTGCGGCGAAGAAAAATCTGACGAGTTTTAGAAAAAGGGGTAAAAAAAAATCTATCCCGGGAAAAAAATACAATTTGTAAGATCTCAGGATTATTAATTAACAGCATAACATAAAACAAAGAACTACTGTAATAACTTAAAACCTTTATCTCCTAATTTTTTATTAGGTACAGCGACAGAATAATTACTTAAAAGAAATTTAATAAGAAATACCCATTGTTTTTTTTTTCAATTACTTTTAAAATTTCGAAGTGATACTTGTATTTCAATATTCTCGCAATATTGTGCTTTTTTATGAAAATTATACATTATAGGAAAAAAAATTTAAATTTATTTGAAAGGTATCTGGTTAGCATTTTCTGAAGGTTTCTTTAATGTCAAAGGAAAGCAAAATTGTTTTTAACTAACATATGGAAGGAAAATATTTGCACTAACCTATTAATCTATATTATAACGAGTGAAAGGGAGGGGACAAAAATGATTTAGATGCGACAAATAAAGACGAATTTTAAAAGTGAAAAATTTAAAGGATTCGACAAAATCCAAAATGCATGGAGAAGCAGCCTGGATGAAATGATGATTTGGATTAATAAATTTTAATAAAATTTTGTTCAGAATTTTATTTCTTTTAGATTTGAAATGAAAACGATTGTCATCACGCAAACACACATTACAGTTTTTCTACTCATACTCAGATTCTTTTATTTACACGTTTGCACTGCAAATAATGCAATTCATCTTCCTACCGATTATATACTAAAGAAAAATGCTTTTCTGGCTTGCAAGACATGTTTGTTTAAAATTTTATAACAGCCGTCCCAATTATGTGTTTACCACTATCTATAATCACCTCCGTAGCCTTGTAAATTTGAACCCAACCCAGAGACAAGGGAACTCCTGGATAAAGCGAAATTAGCCTGCTTAGAAGACTTTTTGATGGAACTAACCCATATTTGCGTTACATAGAGAGAACAGCCACGAAATCCTCTTCACCACGAAAATGGTTAGTTTGACAGCAAACGAACTCTAGCCCATGATCTGTCTACCACTCGGGATAATTAATGCCAGCACTGTGGTCGGTGTGTGTTCTGGGTACAGAATTCATATCGACAAGCTATGGCTGGGTTTCGAACCTGGGGCACATCAATGGGAAACGTGAGCTCTATCCCAGTGGCCAATGGTAATTTAAAGCAGATTGGATTGATTATAAATCGGTACCTTGCTGTGGTCGGTGTAATACGATGCTCATGCGTACAGAGTATTGCATTGATGCCGGCTAAATACGTCGCTCGCAAAGAAAGGATTACTAAAAATACCAGTTTCATCAATGCTATTAATTAATTGACTTAATTTTATCCCATTCGTTTTAAGACTTCAGTAATTTCTTACCCACGCTTTAAATGATACTATACCACCTATTTATAATTATTCTTTCTGCACTCAGAATCAGTTGGATGAAACTATTCCTAATACCTTTATTTCAGTAAAAGCCATTAACGTTTTAAAAGTGTTTGTAACTTTTTTATTGTTAATCAAATTAATATCTTATTTAATCTAAATCTGAAGTTGATAATATGATAATTCTATCTGAATTGGTTTACTGTATCGAAAATATCATCTGATTTTATTTACTTTTCTGTGTATTTTTTCGCTCTTTGTGCTCTTCATCAATTTCACGCAGATAAATTTATTGTATATAACTGATATTTTGATCTGATCTAAAACCTTTTGTTTGACCCCCGATATTCTATTTTTGGAAATAGTAACACTAATACAGACATTCAATTTAAAATAATTTGATAACATTCTTGTGAACTCGATAACATTCGTATTTCGTAATATCTGAAGTAAAGTACTTTATTTATTTTTAAATTATTTTAGATACAATATTTGCTTCAATTCGTGATTTATAATTAAAGCATTATTTCATCAATCTATTTCTGAGTAATGCTACATTAATATAAACTAGGGAAACTTTTAACGAAATTAATCCGCTGATTTTGCTCAATCTGTTTTGCTTTCATTATGTTATTAATTCGCATTTTAAGTTTCAAGAAAAACGCATCGTGCATATTAGATAAAAGAGCGCTATAGCTGTTACACCAGCAGTTAGCGTTATTTTTAATCATTATGCAAATAACTTCGCTTTATAATACTTAATCTACATTTAGAAAAGATTATTAAGAAAATTGCGTTTTGCAATGCTTCTCCAAATAGCTCATTTTAAACTCTGATATAATATCGCTATTAACTTTATTTTCTGCCTCCAATTCCCCTTATCTGAATCGAAAAATAACACTGTTAATTTAAATCAGTTGCTTTAAGTCATTTTAATTTCCATCAAAGACCGCAGTTAGAGAAGGAATAGAAAGTAAACGCATCCGCTTTCCTATTTCATTCATGAGTGATTCTTAGATTGAGAAGCGCCCGCCCGGGGGCGTTGTGGACAGCCGGTAAAAGTGCACTGGGGATCGGAACGATGAGTGTTTTCCGGAAAATGTTTAGTTGCTTTATGACTGCTACCGTCAATGCATTGAGTTTTGGAAAGTTCCCCCTTTTTCCGGCGCAACTTGGCGCGCAAGAGCGTTTTGAAACAAGTTGCAAAATTTACGGCGTACGGACGTTTTATCGTTTAAGTGACAAAATGTGGCATTTATTGACAATTTACATCTTTTAATTGTGTTTAAAAACAAATATAACGGGACTAAAACTAGTAGTTGCGGGAAATTCGAATCATCATGTCATCATTGTGGACATTCCATATACTTGTACTTGTGTTAGCAGTTTGGGTGACAAGCCTAGTGTCAGGTAAAATAGACTTATACAGATACATTAAATTAACGAAAAAAATTTTACCTTGAATGTGTTCCCTATTACAGCATTAAAAAAAACATTAAAGTTGTACATAATTGTACATAGTTGTACATAACCACGGATATTATTTAATCATTATGAAATTAAAAATAGTGCCAGAAAGTTTATACGAATAATTTTTACGAAAATGTTTTTTTTTTCTTCTTTTTTTTACAAAGTTATGCAAATATTTTTATTTTGAAGTAAAATGTTTCCTTCATTTTTATTTCATGAAAGTTTTCAAAATAATGTGGAAAGGTTTCGTACGCAACCGAATTTTACATTCATTGTGCTGTAAGTTTTTTAATACTGTAATTTTTCCTTATTTTCCAAACTCCAAAAAATGAGCGAAATATTTTATAATATTAATTTATTTTATTTTAGTTTAGTTTTCGATAGATTTAATTAATTTTTTTTTCAAACATCAAATTTGCATTTGTAATAATTTTTTTACTGTTTTATTTTTTCGTTATTTCCCGTCATAAAAAAAACATAAATTATTTTTTTATAAATTTTTTTTCTCAAAAGGTTCGTTTTCCAGTATAATCTAATATTCTACGAAAAATTTGTGTTAAGTTTTCTGCATTTTACGTCGACATTGTATTAAATGTGTTCTGACATGTAACAATTTCACAAAAAAACTTTACTTTAGAGCATTTCGCAAAAAGCATTTAACAATAGAGCATTCATAAGAGCATTTTACCATCACTGCTAATTAATTTAAATATACATTAGGAATCTAATTTATTTTTTTTGACTTTCTGTGTCACACCACCTAAAGAAACTTGATTTAATTTGCCGAAGAAGATAAAATTAAAGCCATCAAACTTAATTTATGTAGTGAAAAATTTTTGTTTTAAATGATGTTAAATAAAATAATTTAATAGATATAAGTTTAAAAAAATGAACTCTTTTATTTTATTTTCCAGTAATAGTTTTTATTTAATCTTTTGATATTTATACACAGAATTAAATTGTTTAATTAAATTTATTCCACTTTATTTAAGGTATACTCTAATGCCTATATATATATAATATTTCACTACTTTAACTAGATAATATTTATTATTAAATAATGTTGTTTTATCTTACTATAATTTATGATTATGTCTTATGATTATACTTCTTTTTTAAAATCAATAAGAAATAGGATAAATTCTAAATTTTCTGAAGAAAAGAAATATAAAGTTAATTTTGAAACGTAAAGAAAATATTTTAAATTATTTTTTCAGTAAAATAAGATGCATAAAAATTGTTGAAAACATTTGTGGCTATGTAAGTTTTTAATTGCGAAATTCAATATTGCATCTTTTTGCCAAATTTGGCAAATTAATAGTTTTCGTCAACATTTAAAAATATATTTCCGAATAAAAGGAAAACAAAGTTAATGCATCAATTAAGTGAACATAAAAGTATTTTATTTATAAATTATAATTTTTGCAATAATTGATAATACAAACAAAAATAATTTTAAGTATAAATTTGATTTTTTAAACTAATGTAACTATGTAATGGTCTTCACTTTTCTAGAAGGCTAGCCGAGTGCTATTGTATTTTCTTAAATTTAAAAAAAAATACAATAGTATCTGAAAAATGATAGAGCATTTAAATATGATCTTATCAACATAATTTTATCTCTTATTAATGAAGTTTTCCTCCTTCTTTATGAAATTAACAGTAACAGTTTTTACCGTTAGGAAATTTAATCAATATGAAACATACTTAATCTAATAATAGTATTTTTTGAATTTAAATTATAAATGTTAAAGTTTTTTTAATAAATTTAGATAGAAAGTAATAAATGTAAATCAAATTAATTAAATTAATCTTACAATGTTATTGTCAAAGGAATACATCACAAAAAACTTGCGTTTTAAAAATAATTATTATGAGCTCCTGAACATATCTTACTAACTTGCGGAGAAAAAATTAAAATGGTAAAATCACAATTACAATCCATTAAATCACCGTATTATCACTTGGAAAAACCACAGTACTATACAATAATAATATTTCTTATTGAAAAAAAATCTGGGGAATAAAAATAAAATATGCGGTATTTAAACCTTTCATTTGGTAAATTATTCTTTCATATGGTAATTATTTAAAAAAAAAATGCTGATTTTAGAAAATTGTTCGTAGTATTATTAATTCAGTGAAAAATATAAAAAAAAATAAAAGCTTGAGCCTAATGAATGATTTTATGCCATGCTCTTAGGTGTAATTTTAAAATTACGAATTTTTTCAACATTTAAAAAATCTTTACACATATTATATAACCATATTTTATTGTTAATTTTACTTAAATCATTCCCACACTTCTTCAGTGAAAATTACTGAGTTTTTTAGGGATATATTTAGGGATTACGGTAAATTTTACCATATACCAGTAATTTTCATCATATGTTTTTTTTTCAGTTTAGTTTAAGAAAATCTTAAATAATATTGATTATTTGAATAAATTTAAAGAAAAGCATTTTCTTAAAAGCAATTAGCAGTTTGCCGTAGATCTTGTACTAATTTTTTACAGCTAAATTATGACAATGCATTGCATTATCAAAAACAGCTTTGATTAAATGAATCAAGTAAAAACTTTTAAAAGAATAATGACATTTTTTGTCTTTCTATTTTAAAGTTAAAAGACATTAAATAAAGCTAGCCTTTGAAGTTCAAAGAAAGTGAGACCAGAAATCTTTTAAGAGATTTGTGTCTAGCAGATATTTTTTTAATAAGCATGTAATTATACTAACATATTAGCAATTTTTATAATTAAATGATTTTTATGCTTTTTGATGTTGTAAAAAGCTTCTCAAAGGTCTTTTTTTAATTTATTTCAATAGAAGAATAAGCTAGAAAGCTTATTCTCTTCTAAGAGGATTATTTTTTTATTTATTAAATACTAGCACGATGATGTGAAGGACATGAAAATCAAATTTCATATAGGCAAATTAAAGCGATTCGGTAAATTAAATAAGAAATTTGTTTGAATTACATATTTATTTTCAATTCTTTATTATACTCAATTAATTTTTAAGAGTGTTATTAAATTACTGAAATTGATATAAAAGGTACGAGAGTAATTAAAGTTCGAAGAAAGAAATGGAAAAATGTAATAAAATACTGTCAAAGTTGCTGTTAATTTTGTTTAAAACATATGCAAATAATGATAATAATTTTAATTGCGTCTAGACATAAATTAATTTACCATTTATTTAAAAGTTTTATTTCAATATTTCCTACTTATATGTAAAAAGTTGCTTTTTTATGACAATATCTAGTTTTGAAGGTTAAAGTGTTTATTTTAGTTATATAACTAATTGTAAGGATGCGTCCTAATGGAAAAGAAATCGTTTAAAATTAAATTTGAAAAAAAAAGGTGAAAGTCTGTCCTTAATCATTTGTTATAGATCCTGCTAAAACTGTTGGTGAAACATTTAAAAAAAATTATTTTTTTTAATTTGTAATTGTTTTTATTCTAAATCCTCTTTTTACCTGGTAAAAACCGAAATATAAATAGTCTAGAAAATTAACACATATTGTTTTTGTTCTCAATTAGCACGTGTTACCGAGACTATAAATAAACATATTCAAATGTTTTTCTAATTATTAATTTCTATATTTTTTACAATTACAGTAGGGGACTATCCATGAAAAAATGTCTATAAGAGTCCTCACTTAAGTAAAAAGCATAAAGAAACATTTACAGAAATAATTATTTTTACCAATTCTATCCCGAGAAAAAAAAAAGTATGGACGAAAATACTAATTATGGTAAAATTTACCATATTTCGGGCTCTATAGGAACATCAATAAGATCAGTAGTTTTTACCGAAGCTCTTTGGTAATGATTTTGGGAAAATTAACAATAAAGTATGGTTTTATAATATATGTTGTAATTTGGTAAATGTGGTAAAATTTAGTAATTTTTTCATGAGAGCATAGCACATGGCTTAAAAACTATTTATTCGGTTAAATTTACTTTTCTGTTTTGTAACGTTCTGGGGCTCAATCTTAATGGTACGAGGAGTTGGCCTAAAATATGCTAATTAATAAGGACAGACGATATTTCTAACTACGAAATCAGACAGAAAAACGTAATTTCTCTGATTAAACATGATATTTTTTCGGCATATTCGGATTTCTGACCACAAAATAAAAAAAAAAAAAAAAAAAAAAAAACGAGTAGCCCCAACATGGGAAATATGGTCCTAATAGTTTGGTCAGAAGATAGACATCATTAAGGCCACATTGCCTTTAATGATAATTTTACTTTTTGCGTATTCGCTATATCTTAAATTTTTTTTAAAGGGAATTGAAAAAAAAAATTGTACCAAAAAAAAGTTCGTATATTTTAAGATAATTCCACGCAAAAAATAACTTTTACTAAATATTTATTATTTGTTATTATTTTATTTAAGAATGGTCGAAAAAAATTTGAATTATAAGGTAAATAATTTTTTGCATCATTTTAAGTAAGATAAATTTGCATGGCAAAATATGAAATTTGTACAAAATTGGTTGAAAAGTTCTAGAGAAATATAATTCTAAAAAGCATCAACAGATATTTAAAAGTTGATTCCTCAGAAACTATTCAACCGATTTCGATATTTTTTTATTTTGCCACAAGAAAATATATTCTTCGAAATGATGAAAGAAATTGTATAATTGAAAGATATTGTAGAAATTGTGCGTTATAAAAGAAATTGTAAACATTATTTAAAAAAATAAAACTATAATAAAGATTTACGAAAAGTTATTTTTTGTCTGCATTACCTTTGGACAAACGAGTTATGTAATTATATACAGAATTTTTTTAATTCTCTTTAAAAGTTTTCGAGTCATAGTGAAATACACTAAAAGTAAATGGGTCAAAAACTAATTATGTAATAAGAAAATGTAATAAGTGCAAAAAGTAATTTTATTAAACTTTGGAACACTTTCTTAACCAAATTATT